CAGATGCCCAGCTCCTGGTCGTACATGCGGTCCCAGCGCTCCTCCAGCTCCAACAGCCGCTGCATCTTGGCCTTCACCTCGTCTTTGCCGGCGCCGGCCTCGCAGGAGAAGTCCGCGTTGGCGGGGAGGTCGGGGCCGGAGGGCGGGTCTCCGTCCTGGGAGGAGGTGGAAGGCATGGAGTCCTCCGCCGCGTTGTCACTGGGGGGCGGGGACGCCGATTGCCCCTCCCACTCGTCCTGGCTCTCCGGCAGGGGAGAGTTCCTCCCGGCGCCCTGGCTGTCGGCGTCGTCGTCTTCTACTTTCAGCTTCTGCATTTCGGTGTCGCCGCCGGCGGCCGCCGCGCTGTCCCCGTTCCATTGCGCGGGGGCGGTCACGTTGGAGACGGATCCCTCGGGGGAGGAGACTATGGAGCTCTGGGACTCGCAGCGGGCGGGCTGCGTTAACACTTCCTGCTTCACAGTGAGGATCTGCGGCGCGACGGCCACGAGGGTCTGCTGGGCCGGCAGGATGTTCGGCGTGGTCACCAGGGTCCCCAACTCCGTGAAAGGTTTGATTGTGACCGCAGGGGTGACCACCGGGCCAACCGACGCTCCGAGTCCTGGTGTCCCCGCCGGGGTGACGTCCATGTCTTGCTCTTCGTTGTCTCCGTCTTCTGACAGCACAAAGGACAGCTGCGCGGGGGAGGTGCTGACCAACGATGACATCAGGGAAAGCTCTGGTCGGGGGCTCGCTGGGGGGGGCAGAGAACGAATAAAGTTATTATGAGGGAACTCCGCTGACAGCACATAACCCCAACTTTAAAAAACGCCCCCACCCACTATTTTTAACACCACACCCATATTCCCCCACTGCCCCTCCCACTTAAACACCCCACCCCCTTTCTGTACCTACCTGTGCCCAGTTCAGGCATGGGGGCGCCCGGGGAGCCTCTGCAGTTGAAGAAGATGGACTGTCGGGGGACGCCTGGGGACAGAGAAGAGAAGGGTCAGGGACAGGAAACGACTTTCTATGACATCAGCACACAATTCTCCCACAATGCACCAGGAGGGGCTCGGGCACAGCAAGAGCTCCTCCCCCCACAGGGACAGATCACCGCCTTATACGGGGAGCCCGAGGCCCCGCCTACAAGATGTCACATGACCCAGTGGGTATAAATGAGGGTGGTTAGAGGGCACAGAACTCACACCAGGAACCCGCAGGATCCAGAACCACACAGGGGCCCCCTACTGGTCTAGGAAAGGGCCCATAAATGCTAAAAACAGATCCCTACCAATGAGGATCCATCTTCTTCACCCTGAAGGTATGCCACATTGTTGAGGTGGGACTT